CCTGCACATCCAGGCACGGCAGAGTCTGCGGACAGACAGACCCCACTCCCCACACCCCAGATTCCAATGAGGAATGAGGTGGGGCTCCAGAATCTACCCACGTAGGATCATATTTATTTAATTTTTTGTGGTGCTGGCTGGGGATGGAACCCAGAACCTGGCTCGTGCTAGGCAAGCGCTGACCACTGAGCGGCATCCCAGCCCCAGGGTCACGCAAGGGTGCTAAAGTGAGGGTCTGGTTCAAATCCAACCACTCACCACGAGCCTCTACCACCTAAGGAAAAGCTGAAGACATTTTCACAAAGTCTGAATTTACCGATTCTGTCCTCCAAGGTTCAGGATCCATCCGTAGAGGCTCTGAGCTTAACCTCACCAGACCCCAGATCAGCCGGTCGGGGTGCACAGGCAGGATGCTATTTTAAGTTCAGGGGACGTTCCTACCATTCTTAATGCACTAGAACTTCCACCAGATTTCTGCTGATGAGACTGGGTTCTTATCCCTCCGCGACCTCAGGCTGCCAGGGTGTGGAGTCCGAGTTCGGGACGCACGTCTTCCCCAGAACCGGAGTGCTTGGGTGCAGTATTCTCGTGGACTTACCCACCCTCGGGCACTAAGACTGATCTCAGTAAGAGGGGCATGTTCAGTGCTGCGTCAGGCCGATGTGAAGGGTGGGCAGGCCGCGGCCGGCCGCAGTACCAGACACACCTGGAGCCCCGCGAGGCTGCGCCAGGTCCTGATGTAGGACTCGGGGCTTGTCACGGTTCTGATGAGAGGTGTCCCCAAAAGCTCATGCCTGAAGCAACGCCAGAAGGTTCAGAGGAGAAACGACTGGGTGGCGAGAGCCTTTACCCATCAGTGACTGACTGGGCATTAACTGGGTGGCCGCTGAAGGTGGCCAGAGCAGGTGGGCATTGGGAGCTGTGGCTTCGGGACCCATTTCTACCTGGCAAGTGGAGTCTCTCTCTGCCTCCTGATCCCCACGTGAGCTGCTTCCCTCTGCCACGCTCTCCCACCACGAGGTCCTGCCTCCCCTCGAGCCCCGAGGAACACAGCCTGCTGTCCGTGGACCGGGACCTCTGGAACCGTGAGGCCCTCAATAAGCCTTCCTCCTCTACAACTGTGCTGGCCAGGTCTTTAGGTCACAGCAGCGAAGGTGGTGACTAAAGCAGGGCTCCTGGGAGCGCGGCTTATTCTTGTGTCCCCGTGTGTTAGTGGCACGAAGAAGCCACTGGGCCCCGATGTCCCATTATAGGAACCTCCAGAGGAGCTGGGCCAACGGGTTAGGTGACCCCAGGGGACAGTGGTGCTCGTTTTTCCTTATGACGTGGGAGAAAGGACACTCAGGGGTTGGGGACAGAGCTCAGCTGGCCGAGTGCCTGCCTCGCGGGTCCCAGGCCCTGGGTTCCATCCCCGGCACCACACACACAAAAAAAATAAATAAAAAAGAAAGAAAGAAGGAAAACCGGGGCCGACTTACGCAGCAGAGGGAAAGTGATCCCGAACACGAAGACCATGACTCCCCCGAACATGGAGATGAGGAAGTAGCTGGCTACCATGACCACCATCACGAAGGCCGTGGGGTACTGCTTCTTGGTGCGGCGCAGGACGTCCTTATTGTGGGCCGCCCACACGAAGACCGTGAACACCAGCACCACCACCAGTCCTCCCAGGATCATGTTGAAGGGGCTCAGGAACCTGCAACACGGGGGCAGGGGTGAGCCAGGGGGCAGCGGAGGGGGAGGGGGGCGGGGAGCACTAAGCCCTTTGCCTGAATCAGAACCTTAGCCTTTCACCTCGTGGAGTGGACGCGGTCAGTACTTCTAATAAGAACCCATGACGCCCAGCTCCCTGCCGGGGCCTCGGGCTCCCAGCCAGGGGGCCCCCACCTTCCTGAGGCCCAGAGTCGCAGTCTGAGGCCTCTCTGGGAGGTGGCGTGCCCGGCTATCACGCCTCCCCCTGGGCCGAGGACGCAGGGCGCTGTGCTTCCCAGCTCTCGGGGCACCTTCCAGTCCTCCCAGGACGGGCCCCGATGGCTGAATGTAGACTAGCAGCCACACGAGGGCCTCCGGGGGCCAGATACACTCTGCAGGCACATTTTTGTTTCTCCTGTACAGTGGGTTGCCGTTGTTTTAGTTGTAGCTGGACACAATAGCTTTATTTATCTATTTTTGTGTGTGGTGCTGGGATTCGAACCCAGTGCCCCACACATGCAAGGCAAGTGATCTGCCACTGAGCTGCAGCCCCAGGCCCACCGACACAGTGTTTTCTAAAACTTGTACTTGAAGCCCCCTCTAGGTATTCAAAACACATCCAGACAACCTGCCATGCCTTGCTCCTCCTGGAATGAGAGGATCCAGGTGCTCCGGGCCCAGTTTCCTCCTCGCTGAGAGCAGGCTGGAGCGCCTTCCGCCCTCACACTCAGAGGGAACACATGCTCCCCACGTGGCCACAGCCCTCACCCTCTCTAGGGCGAGCCTGCGGCAGAGGCCCGGGGCAGACTGCCACCTGCCTGCGTTTCTCTCCGAGCTGCCTGAGTGAGTGGCCTCTCGGCTGCGACCTGCCTGTCCAGGGAGCACTCGAGTTCCGACTCAAGAGTCAAGAAGAGGCCGCGGCTGTTACCGACTGATTGATTCGTCTGCTCGCCTGCAGGGTTGGAGGTGGACCACGGCCAGCACCTGGCACAGGCCAGGCCAGGGGGCCACCACTGAGCCACACCCCAGCTCCGGTGCACAGAGCGGTTCTAAGAAGCTGAAAGGGTCCTTCATAATGCGGGAAGACGGTGACTAGACGACAGCAACCCCTTTTCTCCCTGAGAGGGAGTTATCGTCCAGGGGAGTCGGCCCACGGGAGGAACGGCTCTCACTGGTGTACGACTTTGTAATCAGAGACAAAGTGAACACTTAAAGAGAACATAGAAATAAGAAAGCGTCCAGTCCTCCACCCACAACCCAGCTAGGCACGATGGTCCCCACCTACCTGCCCGTTTCTCCAAGGTGGGATTCAGCTCACGCACCACCACGAAGCTGTGCCTTCTGCAACCCAGACCCAGTGCCCCCGCTCCTCAGCAGACCCTCTCAGGGCCAGCCTGCAGCACGTGGCCCCCCAGGATGCCCAACACCCCATGCCCGGAGCTCCCTGTCTGCCGCCTCGCTCCCTCCCACCTCTGAATCGCCCCAGGCCACCTGGCCGCTGCACTGCTGTTCTTATTTTATTTTAACCTGGTTTATACCTTGTCTCTGATATAACCCTGGAACTGATT